AAGTAATGGGAAAAACTGGTTAGGATGAAAAATTTTCTTCTTACTCAAGCTTACAGATGCCAGGACACTTCCTTTAATGATGGAAGGTCAACGCCAGAGATAACTCAACAACACTGGGTAGTTCCCACCCAGAGGACTGGCTGCTCCTCTGGGTCACAATGCAGCTGCCACAGCTTTGGCTTTGCCTCCTCATGCCTCTACCTGCTGCAGGAATAAAGGAACACCCTGGTCTTGTGACCTTTGAAAAAGATGCAGACTTCCCAGAGATCACAGCCGCAGACTTCTGGCGCCTGCTGGCCCATGCCTGAAGCAGTCACTTGGCAGTGGGAGCATGGGGCCACTGGGAAGGCTCAGACTCCCAGAGGGCAGGGCCACGGGGAAGAAGTGATCCAAATGGGGTTCTCTTGGGAGCACCTGGCTGGCTCAGTTGGTGGAGCACGTGATTCTTGATCTCAGGGTTGTGAGTTCAAGCCCCATGTTGGGGATAGAGCTTGCATCAAACAAACAAACAAAAACAAATGGGGTTCTGTTAGCAGAGAAAGAAGGGAGGTTTTTCCCCCTACTCGGGGTTGTTGAGTAGACCACCAACCATACGTGTAACACCCAATGCATGCCATGTGACGAATGCCACATGATGAATGGCCCCATCCCCAGAGCAGGCAGTGGCAGCGGGCCAAGGGCCATGAGTGGCCACAGGCCGTGCAAAATCAAAGTATGGCTTATCCTGATAATCCATTCATATTATTTTCCAATTAATTTATCTTTTTATAAAAGTAATATATCTTACTCCCAAATTTCAATTAAGATGGATACTCCCAGGAGTAGGGCCATGTCCTTTGTGTGATTTTGTGTACCCCTTGTCACTTTGCAGGATGTGCATGAGCCTTGGGCTTGTGAAGCACAGATTTAATTACCTAGGTTTGTCACCTACTGGTTGGGTAACCTTGAACAGAGCACTTGGCCTTGTTCCTTGGTTATCTTGGCTGCAAAATGGGGATAGTATTAATGCCTACATCGGAGATTTTTTTTTGGCGAAGCTTTAGCAAGGTAATGTGTGTCAATCTTAGAAGCATCTGCCATTGTTATAAACCAATCCCCTAAAGTTAGTGTTCTGGTTCTTTGCTGAACCCCAAAACTCAGTGGCTTGAAACAAAAATCATGTCTTATTTTGTTCCGAGCCTCCAGTTTGGGCAGCACTTGACAGGGAAGGCTCATTGCCATTCCAGCATCTACTGGGACGGCTCCCACCAGGGCTGGAGGATCCGCTTCCAAGCTGGCTCACTCACTCAGCTGGCAAGTCGGGGCTGGCTGTGGGCTGGGAGCTTAGCCAGGGTGGAGGGCTGGAAGACTCAGTTGCCGTCCACGTGGGCCTCTCCATATGACCTGAGCTTCCTCCTGGCACAGTGGCTAGGTTCCAGGGGCAACCATCCCCAAAGAGAGAGCTGTGTGGATGCTGTCTTGCCTTTGACCACCCAGCATTGGCATCCACGCAGCGACACTTCTGCCATATGCGATGAGTAGAGACAGTCCTAAGTGCTCGCCCAGATTCAAGGGGAGGGCACACTGACTTCACCTCTTGATGGAGGGTGGGGGTAGTAAGGTTGTCGAAAAACATATGGGACTGGAAATATTTTTGTGACTGTTTTTGCAAACTACAATCTGCTGGAGCTAGATAGTAGGTGATTTCCAGTCTTAACAACCATGATGTATCACCAAGCGGGAAGTTTATTTTCCACTCTTGAGGATTATTCCCTTAGGAAGGCATCTTCTGGAATAGGCATGTTTGCTAACATACCAACAATGCTTCAGACAATAAAGGCATCTTACCTCATCACAAAAAAGGTAGGAAGTTCCAGGCTTGGGGATGGGCTCAATGATACTGTTAAAAGCTGAGGTTCCTTATCTGTCTTACCTGTCTTATCACTCTGCATCTTCAGTGTGTTGGCTTTCTGCCATCAGATGTGTCACCGTGTCACATCATGATCGTGTGTGACAGTTGTAGGCCTCACCTCCTCAGACTGTGGCATTCAAAAAAAGAAAGGAGCAAGGCGTTTCTTTGTTTCCCTCCCTCCCTCCCTCCCTTCCTCTCTCACTCTCTCCCTCTTTCTCCTCCTCCTTGACCCTGATATTTTTTAACAAAGAAGAAATTCATTCTCAGAAGCCCCAAAGCCCCAAGCAGATGACTCTGTTGGTCTCATTGGCCAGAGCTAATCACGTGTTTCCCAAGAACTGCAAGGGTGGCTGACAAAAGAGGTGTGTGGTCTTTCCAGCCTCCTGGTGAGAAGTGGGCTTTGCGGGCCAGAGAGAAGGCAGCCAAGGAACGTGGGGGTGGGGGTGCCAAGATCAAAAGGCAGGATCCTTAATAAAACTTCTTAATTGAAGTTTAGTACACAGAATATGCCCGAGTTGTAAGGGGGCAACTTGGTACATTTTCACGAGTTGAGCCCACCTGAGTAAGAAGCACCCATAAACACAGCGGTGCCAGCCCCTCAGCAACTCGCTCCAGACCCTATCCCACTAACTACCCCTCAAGTCCCTAACAGCATAGATTCATCTGTCTGCCTCTGTTCTTTATATCATGGGAATCACGAAGTATATCTGAGTGCACCTGATTTTTCTCCCTCAACATTACGTTCAGGACTTTCATCCTGACCAGTGCAGGTGACTGTACACTGCTCATCATTATTGCTATATACTGTTCCAATTGTGTGAATATTTATCCACTTGGGAGTTTCAAGGTTGGAGCTATTACGAATTGTGCTGCTATGGATAATCCTATACGTGTTCATGGGCACCCTCGTGCATGCATTTCTGCCGTATAGGTGCCTAGGAGAGGAACTCCTGGGTCAGAGTGGGTGCCTATGTTCAATTTTATTGGATGCTGCCCATTTCCAACAATGTACACTCCCACCGGCAGTTGTGAGTTCGTCTCTCCACAGCCTCACCAACACTTGCTGTTGATCGTTTTTATTTTTTTTGATTTTTAAAAAATTCTTTTTTGGGATCCCTGGGTGGCGCAGTGGTTCAGCGCCTGCCTTTGGCCCAGGGCGCGATCCTGGAGACCCGGGATCGAATCCCACGTCAGGCTCCCGGTGCATGGAGCCTGCTTCTCCCTCTGCCTGTGTCTCTGCCTCTCTCTCTCTCTCTGTGACTGTCATAAAAAAAAATAAAATAAAAAATTCTTTTTTAAAGTTTTTTTTTAAGATTTTATTTATTTATTCATGAGAGACACAGAGAAAGAGGCAGAGACATAGGCAGAGGGAGAAGCAGACTCCCCTCAGGGAGCCCGATATGGGACTGGATCCCGGGATTCCAGGATCACGCCCTGAGCCAAAGGCAGACGCTCAACCACTGAGCCACCCAGGTGCCCCTATTTTTTAAATTTTAATTTTTTTTATTTTTTAAATTTTTACACTTGATCTTAGCCAAAAGACCGAGAAGTGAATTATTTTTTTAATTTTTTAAAAAAGATTTTATTTACTCATTTTAGACAGACAGAGCCAGTGGGGAGGGGCAGAGAGAGGGAGAAAGAATCTGAAGCAGACTCCACACTGAGCCCAGAGCCCAACGTGGGGCTCAATTCCACTACTGCTGAGATTGTGCAGAAACAGAGTTGGACACTCAGCCAACAAGTGAACTACTCAGGCGCCCCTATTGTTCGTTTTTAATTTTAACCACTCTCAAGAAGCATGGAGTGGTGTCCTCTTGGAGTTTTCACTTGCATTTCCTTGAGACCAATGAAGTTGAGTGGTTTTTCGTTGTTTACACTGGGTGATCGTCTGTGAAGTGACTTTAAGCCCTTTGCAAGGCTGTGAGCTGTTGGAAACCCTTGATGCCACTGATTAGCCGCTTCCCAGAAGAGCTGTGCACATGCAGCTGCCCCTGAGCCACTGCCAGTGCTCCACAGTCTTGTGGGCACCCCAACTTCCGGGTGGACACACCCCTGAATCAGTCACCCAGCGCTGTGGGCAGAGCAGAGCTGGGTTTAGCTCCCACTTCTCCCATGACTAGGAGCCCTTCGTGCAGTGCACAGCCCATGCAGCCATGCCCCATGCCCGCTCTGCCTCCCCTACATTGTATGAAGAGCCTCACATTGACCCACTAGTGCTCAGAGAAGAACAGAGGGAAATGAGAGTTTGCATGCCCTGGAGGTCTTAATGACTCAGGGGAAGAGATGACTCAGGGGGACCAGCTCAGTGGCTACAGATAATCAAAGTGTTCTGGGGCCCAGGGATCAGATTTGTTTTAGGAGGCCCTACAAGCCAGAGCCAGGCTGGCGAATTTGAGCTCAACACAGGTTAGGCTGGCTGTGAAAGCTCCACAGGGTCTAGGTCACCGCAATAGAATAACGTCCAGCACACAGTAGTCACCTATTACCTCCTTTTGGGATAAGTGCTTAATAGTGCTCTCCTGCAGCAGATGGGCTGCGTCAGGAGGGGGGCAAGGGTAGTGAGCTCCTGGGCACCGAGGACCGCCAAGGCCAGGTAGGTGACCATCATGGAGTGATTTCAGGAGTGATGCCTTTGATGCTGACTGCTCTGCATGATATTAAAGATGTTTCCAGCCCCTAGCCTCTGTGAAGCTATGAATTATCCATGCTGGGATTCAGTAGAGGCAGACTGATTAGTATTAGCTGAAGCAAAACCTAATTAGGAAGGCAAATTGATTTCCAAAAAAAGAATTGGATGATGTGTTCCCAAGACTGTTAGAAATGGTTTTTTAATTGTCTGCTCTTTTGTATTATTCATGCCATTGTTTGCCTTTGTGAGTGAAATCGGCCTGTCTCTCCTCCCCGCTTCCCTCTCCCTCCCGCCAGGCTTAGTACCTTCTCTCTGGCCCGCCCCAGGGCTGGCGCTGGGCTGGGCCATTCCTCTGGGGATAGCTGGAAGCCCAGGGGAAAGATAGAGACAGAAATGGTGGAGAGGTGCCCCAGGCACAGGGTCCCACAAGGAAGCACAGGGAGCTGAACGCTGACCTTTCTGCACTTACTCCCACCCCAGGTGGCCCGGTCTCAGGGAAAGGGCATCTTCCTCTTCCGGAGGCTGAAGGACATCATGGATTGGAGGAAGGTAAGCTTACTTCTCCCCGTTGTTGCTACTGAAACCCCCCTCTGCCCTTGCTGCCATGAGGCACCCCGCCTTTCCTCCTTCAAAGCTTGGAAGGCTGGTGGAGAAGTTCTGCCCCTGGGCCTCCCCATGGGAACGAGGTCTCTGAAGTCAGATGGCCTGGATTTAAATCTTGATTTTGCCCCTGAATAGCTGCGTGACCTGGGGCAGGATACATCACCTCTCTGCGCCCAAGTAAATGAAGGGTGGTAGCAATAGTACCTGCTGAGGATGCAATGAGCTAATATGCCTAAAACCCAAGAACATGGCCTCTGTACCTGGGCCTGCTGCTCACCTGGTTGGGGAGAGTTTGGCCAACTCTTGCTGTGGATCCTAGGCTGAGCCTGAGGTAGCTCCCTTCCTCCCCATCGCCCCATCCCGATCCCAGGACCGGTGTAGTAGAAATCCTGGTTCCAGTCCTGCCTCTGCCACTCAGCAGCTGTGTGGTCTTGGGGAAATTGCTGAACCCCTCTGAACCTCAGAGATGATAATAGTCCACGTGAGTAACAAGAGCAGGATGACCAGCTCCTACACAACCAGCACCTCCCACATGTGCTGGTACTCAATGAATGAATTTCCCCTTTCCTCCGTGCGTTCTGATTCCTCCCATGAAATCATCAGGGTACCGCTGGAAAGAAGCTCACCGGCTTGGAAGCCCCGCCGGCCCGGAACGCTGTCAATCCCTCTGGCAGCCATGTGAGTACAGATTCAGGGACCCAGGAAGGGAAGGCCTGGCCCATCAGTCTCAAAGTGGGTTGGGGGTGGGGAGGTGACAGTAACTGTAGAAAATTCCACCCTGGGGGCTAATAGTCCTGAGTTCCAGAGGCTCCCTGCGCCAAGGCTGTTGTGTGACCTCACCAAGCATGTGACACTTGCCTTTGGGCCTCAGCTTCCTCCCAAGGTTACCATGAAGGGGGCCGGTGGGTGAGAAAGGGCTTTGTGGACCTTGAGGTGCTGTGCTGGTGTGAGCGAGGGCATTGCCATCTTCTTGAGCTGGGCTGGTCCGGAGAGAGCTTGCAGGCAGAGACAGGAGAGGAAGGTCCTTGGGTGCCTGTGTGGCGCTCTGGGCAGCACCAACCAATGGGACCTCCTCTGGGGGTGGAAAGGCGTGTCCTGTGCTCTCCGCGGTATTGCGACCGCTAGCCACGTGTTGACATCGAGCACCTGAAAAGCTGCTGGTGCGACTTAAGGGCTGGAGTTTAACTTTCCTTTCCTTGCTTTCTTTTATATACATGAAGTTTACCATTTTAACTGCGTTTCAGTGTATAATTTAGTGGCGTGGCATATATTCACATTTTGTGCAACCACCACACCGTCCACCTCCAGAACTCTTCTATCCATTTCCAGAACTTCGTTCCCAAGAAACACAAACTCCCTATTTTCCCTCCTTGCCCCAGCCCCTGGCAGCCACCTTCTACTTTCTATCTCCATGGATTTGACCACGCTGAGGACTTCATCCAAGTGGACTCAGACAGTATTTGTCTTTTGCGTCTGGCTTATTCTTAGTGTGATGTCCTCAAGGGCATCCATGTGGGAGCATTTAAGTTCACGGACTTTTAATTGGTTTAAGTGTAAATGGGCAGTGCAGGTCTGGAGGTTAAATGCCGAGGCTTGACCCAGCCTGTGGGTCCACTTCCCAGCTGTACCACCGCACAGCTGTGTGACCTCGGGCAAGTCAGTTCCCCTCTCTGTGCTTCAATTTCTCTCCTATAAACTGGGAATAACATGAGTACCTACCTGATTAGAGTTGATTTAACAATATACTTCAAAAAATATACCCCAAGTAGAGTACCTGACACAGTACCTCCTTACGCGGGGAATATGCTCCATAAATGTTTTTTTTCCATAAATGTTAATAATAGTTATTGTTATAACTAGGATTCGAGAAGTTCTGATGACCAGAAGGATGAAATCCCCGTAGAGAACTACGTAGCTCAGCGCTATATCGAAAACCCCTACCTAATAGGAGGTGAGATGGCCGCCTTGGCTCAGAACAGCGTCAGTGCCACTTTGGCTGCTTTCACCTCCTTGGGCAACGTCCTCCCCTCCCTCCCCCAATGAACCCCAGCTGAGACCTCATCCCAACAGCCCCGATTCCCATGTTCCGCAGCCTGTGGCATGCCCTCTTGGGGACCCCCAAGAGACTCGAACCCAACATGCCTAAAATCCAACCTTGCCCTCCCCCTGCCATGTGGCTCATTCCTCAGCCTCCCCTTGCCCTCCCCCTACCATGAGGCTCTTTCTCTAGCCTCCCCATGTCCCCAGCTCCTCCAGGCCCTCCTTGCTAAGCCAGAGGTCAGAGACCGTTCCCCATGTGTCCCTCTCTTCCCCTCCCTGCTCTTACCTCCATCAGGCTCCCTCAGCTCTTGAATCTGTCCGAGCACCTTCACCTCAGTTCTGGCCACTGCCCCCTCCCATCCTCACTGGTGCCCACTGCTGCTCTGGGTCCCTGTGCTCCACTCCAACACGGTAGCCAGGGGGACAAGATACCCTTCTGTGGCTTCCCATGGGTGGTGAAACAAAATCCAAAAACTGCATGTGAGCTGGCCTCTGCTGACCTCAGTGACCTCACTGCCCTCGTCTCCTTCCACCCTGCCTGTGCTGACAGCCTCTGCTCTGGCTGTTCCTCCTGCCCCACAGCTTGTCCCTCTGGGCTAGGGGGGCACTTCTCTTCCTGTAGGTCACTACTTCTCCATGATCCCGTGTCTTCAGCCTTTCTCCAGCACTTTTTTTTTTTTAAGATTTTATTTATTAGGGATCCCTGGGTGGCGCAACAGTTTAGCGCCTGCCTTTGGCCCAGGGCGCGATCCTGGAGACCTGGGATCGAATCCCACATCGGGCTCCCGGTGTATAGAGCCTGCTTCTCCCTCTGCCTATGTCTCTGCCTCTCTCTCTCTCTCTCTCTCTCTCTCTCTCTCTCTCTGTGACTATCATAAATAAATAAAAATTTAAAAAAAGATTTTATTTATTAGAGAGAGTATGCATGCACGGGGGGGGGAGGGACAGAGAGAGAAGCAGGCTTCCTGCTGAGCAGTGAGCCTGATATGGGGGCTCAATCCCAGGACCCCAAGATCATGACCTGAGCTGAAGACAGACACTTAACCAAGACACTTAACCAAACCACCCAGGTGCCCCAGCCTCTCCCAGGCATTAACCCTCTCCATCAGTCACCCTCTCTTTGTACCCCATGTGTTTCTACGGGCACTCGCCTCTGTCTGTCCATCACTATAACCAGTGCAGTGCCTGGCACACGGTCTGTATTTGTTGCATGTATTCTCTCCTTGCCTGACAGGCCGCAAGTTTGATCTGCGTGTCTATGTGCTGGTGATGTCGGTGAGTAACTAAGAGGGGGCCCTCCTCTAGCAACAGGTAAGGAACAGAAGGCAGAAGCCATTCTAGGGGGGCACCTCTGTGAGCTTGTCTGATTCTGCCTGCCTGGGAGAGCCCAGGGGGCATCTGAGGATGAGGTGAGGGGGGTACACAGATCTCATCTTAGAGAACCATCTTAGAGACCCTAGAGTCTGGATTTGCCCTCCATGTCAGCCATCCTTGGTAACCACAGCTTTTACTGAGCACCTACTAAGTGCTAAGCCCTGTTATTCAGGAGGTTTTATTTCATGTAGTCCTCCTAAGAACCAGGGAGGTAGGTTCTATTATTACCCTCATTTTACAGGTGAAGAAACAGATACCGAGAGGTTAAGTGGCTTGCCCAAGGTCACACACTGGTGACTGACACAGTTGGGGTTCGAATCCAGACAGCCTAGCCCCAGAGCCTGATCTCAAATGAGGAGTTTCTATGCTCTCCCCACCCCGACTCATTAAAAACCTGTTCAAACCTTCATGCTATGCTGCTCTCTGCAGGACACAGGACATAGGGGTGTGGGAGGCAGGCTCAGCCCCTGTGCTCCCCGAGCTCAGCGTCTGGTGGAAAATATGGACACGCCCTGAGCCTGCCTCCCACAGCCCTGTGTCCCGTGCATATCATGAAGGTATGTTCATTCTGTTCCCTTCTGCATCTTCTTCCCAGCCCCCAACACCAGGGTGGGAAGGCGTATAATCTGAGGCTGATGCTGGAGCCGATTCTTGAGGGATGATGTGGGAAGGAAGGAAGGGCGCTCCAAGTGGAGGAAACAGCAGGTGCAAAAGCCAGGAGGGGCAAAAGTGCTCCTATTCACCCTCCTCCCGTTCCTCTCCCTCCTTTCTTGCCTCCACACAGTACATCCCGCTTCGGGCCTGGCTGTACCGGGATGGCTTTGCCCGATTCTCCAACACCCGCTTCACCCTGAGCAGTATTGATGACCAATGTATCCTGGGATCTCTGCCTACCCATCCTCCTGCACCCTGCCCCTTCCCATCACCGGCTGGTCTGGGCACAGGAGATGCAGTTGCGAGCAAGGCGGTCCTGATCACTCCCTCTGGGCCCTGATAGTCTTATGGTCGTGGCGGAGCCCCCAGTGATGCCAAAGCGGCAGCCCCCGCTCTGTTCAGAGCAGCTCCCCACAAACTGCTGCCCTGCTTGACAATCACTTCGGTGGTGTGCCTGCCATCCACACCGATTCACAGTCACAGGATGGGAGAGTTTGAGCCCTTTTGGAGAACGTTGCATCCTTTCATGTGCTTTAGTCATTGGCTTATGTATTCACTCAAATACGGTGCCCTTTTCACCCATCAAACTGCAGAGACAAAAAAATTGATAACACACTATGTTGGCGAGGCTGAGGAGATACGTGTGTTGCTGGTGGGGTATACATTGGCACAACCCGCTTCAGAGGCAATCTGGCAAAATGTCTATCAAAAGACAAAAACACATACCCTCTGACCTAGCAATTCCCTTCTGGGAACTTACCCCTACATGTACACTCACAATATATGAAAAGAGAGGTTTAGAGGCTATGTACTGCACCGCCTTGTAAGTGAGAGCAAAAACAAACAACCCAATAGGAAATAAAGAATGGCTTATTTTCACGATGGCCTACTACACAGCTGTTAAAAAGGAACAGACAGCCATGCTTTATGTACAGATATGAAACAATCTCAGCGATGTATTGTTAATTGGAAAAAACCCGAGGTATAGAACTCTGAAAAGTATGCTTCCTTTTACATTACAGATTATATCTGTCTATATGTGTGCATCTGTGCATAGACATCTCTGGAAGGAAGTACAAGAAACTGGGAATAGAAGTTGCCTTTGGGAGGGGACTTGGACAAGTGGGGACAGGGGTGGGAAGGAGATAATATCCTCAGACACATTTTGATGTCTTTTGACTTTTGAACCATGAGAGTGTATTATCTGGCTAGAATATCCACATCAAAAATAAGGTTTCTAAGATTTTTAGACATGAACATCGGAAGAAAAGAGGTTGACAATCCAGGAACAAGGAGATGGCAAATGAGCAGGACTAGACTACCTGCATGTGGGAGGGAAGAAATGGAAGGTCTTGTGTCCGCGAAGCTTCTGGCGTGGGCAACCCAGCTAATGCTTCCAGCCAATTCCCACCTCTCTGCCTTAACTTTGTGTCTCAATTACGTGTCCGCCTGAGCTAATGCATGTGCTCTGCCTGTGTGTTGGAATGGGAGAGGGCCCTCCTGAGGATATCCTACAATTTTTCCCTCTATTTTTCCAACTTCAGCGTTTTTAGTATGTTTCATTTTGTAATTCTTTTTTTTAATAATTTTTTAAAATTTATTTATGATAGTCACAGAGAGAGAGAGAGAGAGAGAGGCAGAGACACAGGCAGAGGGAGAAGCAGGCTCCATGCACCGGGAGCCCGACGTGGGACTCGATCCCGGGTCTCCAGGATTGCGTCCTGGGCCAAAGGCAGGCGCCAAACCGCTGCACCACCCAGGGATCCCTCATTTTGTAATTCTAATACACATTTCCCAGATGCAAGTTAACACCTACTTTAGGTTCATTTTTTTGGCCACCATGATTTTTGTTCAATGACACACATAGGGCAGCCCCGGTGGCTCAGCAGTTTAGTGCCACCTTCAGCCCGGGGTGTGATCCTGGAGACCCGGGATCAAGTCCCACATCGGGCTCCCTGCATGGAGCCTGCTTCTCCCCCTGCCTGTGTCTCTGCTTCTGTGTGTGTGTGTGTGTGTCTCATGAATAAATAAATAAAATCTTTAAAAAAAATGACACACATAAAGCACTTAGCCAGTGCCAAGCCCAGAGTGAGCACTCAGCACATGTTAGCTGTCCTCTCTCCCTATTTAAAAGTGTTTGTCGACAAATACCCACCATTTGCTTCAACGTGGATGGACCTGGAGGGTATTATGCTGAGTGAAGTAAGTCAATCAGAGAAGGACAATTATATGGTCTCATTCATTCGGGGAATATAAAAAATAGTGAAAGGGAATAAAGGGGAAGGAGAGAAAATGAGTGAAAATATCAGTGAGGGAGACAAAACATGAGAGACACCTAACTCCGGGAAATGAACAAGGGGTAGGTAGTGGAAGGGGAGGTGGGCAGGGGGTGGGGGTGACTGGGTGATGGGCACTGAGGGGGGCACTTGGCGGGATGAGCACTGGGTGGTATGCTATATGTTGGTAACATGAACTCCAATAAAAAAATTTTTTAAGTGTTTGTGTATCTCCAGGGTCCTGGGGCCTTAATAAACAAATCCCAGCCCCCCCAGGACTACTTCCTACTTAACGAGGCTTTGCTGTTTTCACAGTGAGTGAATTCACATTATTTCCCACAACTTCTGTTCTTTGTTCTGAATTTTTAAATGTTGAAATATTTTAAAATATTTTTTACTTTTTTAAAGCTTTTATTTATTTATTCATGAGAGACACAGAGAGAGGCAGAGAGATAGGCAGAAGGAGAAGCAGGCTCCATGCAGGGAGCCCAACGTGGGACTCGATCCAGGACTGGGATCACGCCCTGAGCCAAAGGCAGATGCTCAGCCACTGAGCCACTCAGGTGTCCCAAAATATATATTTTAAAGACTATAAGAGAAATCTAGGCATCCACCATCCAGATTTGACAGATGTTAATATTTTGTCATATTTGCTTCATATATTACATATCCGACTTCTAAAATAATAAAGCAACTTTGGGCACCTGGATGACTCAGTTAAGTGATTTGGTTTCAGCTCAGGTCACGGTCTCTGGGTCATGAGATCGAGCCCCACATCAGGCTATGCAGAGTCTGCTTGGGACTCTCTCTCCTTCTACTTCTGCCCCTCCCCCTGCTCTCTCTTTCTCTCTAAAATAAAAATCTTAAAAAAAATAAAGCAACTTTGATTCACAAAATAAGACAATATATATGTACATATATATATATTTTTACCATTTTATTTATTTGACAGAGAGAGAGAGCACACGCGTGTGCTGGTGCATAGGCAGGGAAAGAAACAGAGGGAGGAGGAGAGGCAGATTCCCCACTGAGCAGGGAGCCCAATGTGTTTTGAGGCTCCATTTTAAGACCCTGGGATCACGATCTGAGCCAAAGGCAAACGCTTAAATGACTGAGCCACCCAGGTGCCCCAATAAGACATATTTTAACCTGACCTTAAATATATATATTTACATTTTTATATGTAAAATGTATACACACAGAGTTATTCACACAATATTATTCTGTTTACACAGTTATTCAAATGTTTTATATATATATGTACATGCACACACACACACACACACATATAAAAAATAACCATCTCGGGATCCCTGGGTGGCTCAGCAGTTTGGCGCCTGCCTATGGTGCTCAGGGCGCGATCCTGGAGTCCCGGGATCGAGTCCCGCATCAGGCTCCTGGCATGAAGCCTGCTTCTCCCTCTGCCTGTGTCTCTGCCTCTCTCTCTGTGCCTCTCATTAATAAGTAAATAAAATCTTTTAAAAAATAGCCATCTCAAAACTGTAATAATGAATAGAAAGAAATTAAAATGCCCGTGTGGGATGGCAAAATGAATGATAAGGCTTCTGCATGATATTGCATGGCTGTTATAATGAGGTCAATTGAACTGTCATGGAAAGGTATCTAAGGTAGACTATTAAGTGAATAAAGGGTATAGAACTGGTAGGTTTATGATCCTGGTTTGGCTTTTAAGGAAGGATGGTTCTGTTTAGAAGAAAGTAAAAAAGGATAGTCACTAATTTATTAACTCTGAAAACCAAGGAGGATTAGAATCAGGTCAGGAGGGGCGCCTGGGTGCCTCAGTCAGTTAAGCATCTGCCTTCACCTCAGGTCATCATCCAAGGGTCCTGAGTTCAAGCCTCACCATGGGCTCCCTGCTCAGTGGGGAGCCTGCTTCTCCTTCTCCCTCTACCTATTGTTCCTCAGCTTGTGCTCTCTGTCAAAGAAATAAATAAAATCTTAAAAAAAAAATCAGGTTAGGAACTTTTATTTCCAACTTTACACATTTTCCTGTATTATGAATTGTTTTTATGACCATTATGTATTATTTTAATAATAAAAATAATAAAACATTTAAAGAGTATAGTGTTTCACTATACAAGTGGTATAGCTTTTTAAAGACAAATCAGAAAATTCAGAAAATGTACAAATTTCTCTAATCATATTTTCCAGAGACAACTATTTATCCTTCTGATGTATTTCCTCACAGGTTTGTATGCATAGTTTTGTTGTTGTTGTTGTTGTTTGTATTTTTTAAATTAATTATTTATTTGACAGAGAGAGCACAAGCAAGGGGAGCAGCAGGGAGAGGGAGAAGCAGGCTCCCTGCTGAGCCACCCAGGCACCCCTGTTGTTTGTATTTTATAAAGGGGTGATCCCACTGTGTAAACATAACCGTTTTTTCACTAAATATGTATTTTCCATGTAGACATTTTTTATTAGTCATAAAATATTCCACTGAGTAGATTTACTGATTTACTAATCTTGCACACTGCAGGCATTTGGGAAGTATTCAGTTTCCTCCAATTATGACATATAATGCTGCAAATAAACATATTTTTCATATTTTACCATATTTAAGATTTTACCTTCAGATGACATGGTGGAAGTGTACATACTGGATCAAGGGCTTGTGGCTGGATTGTTTTCCACAAGGTTCTTTTGTATTTTTGCCCTGCCATTGACAGGGCCCATTTTGTGCCAGCTCTCCAGTACTGAAGACAATCATTTTAAAAAGACATTTCTGAAACAATCGGTACTTGTCGGTGAAGCATATATGGGCATTCATTATGCTTGCAATGATTCTGTAAGTTTTGTGTTTTTCCAAATAAAAAGGTTAAAAAATATGTAACCAGCCTCATGGGGAAGCAGGGTTTTGCCTTAGAATTTGCATTTCTTCCAATTGTATTTTTGTCCCATTTACATCCCTTTAAGATTAGGTACCTTCTATTACAGGAAACTTCAGGCATTTTCTCAAATGGTCTTTTGTCAGTTATAGCCCCTCCAATGTTTTCATACCCCTCTATCTACTCACCTATTAGGGTCATAAACTTTTTTCCTTTTTTTTTTAAAGATTTTATTCATTTATTCACGAGAGACACAGAGAGAGAGGCAGAGACACAGGCAGAGGGAGAAGCAGGCTCCATGCAGGGAGCCCGATGTGGGACTCGATCCCAGGCCCGCAGGACCATGCCCTGGGCAGAAGGCAGGTGCTAAACCGCTGAGCCACCCAGGCTGCCCTTTTCTTTTCTTTTTTTTTTTGTATATTTTTTTTTGTTGGAGTTCAATGTGCCAACATATAGTAGTATAACACCTAGTGCTCATCCTGTCAAGTGCCCCCCTCAGTGCCCATCACCCAGTCACCCCATTCCCCCACCCACCTCCCCTTCTACTACCCCTTGTTCATTTCCCAGGGGGCCATAAACTTTTATTGTTAACAATTTGTGTGGGATTTCCATGTGACAAAAACATTAGCCTGTCATATTGCTACAAATCTTTTCTCCAGTCATGCTTGCTTTTCATTCTTGCCTTGATAGCTGATTAAGTTTATTTTTACATAGTCGGCTCATCCACTGACTTCCTCTGTGATTTCTATTGTCATTTCTAAGCTAAAAATTTTTTTCCTGCTGAAAGATTTCATAATTAATCAGTTCCACTTCTTTACAGATTGGTTTTGATGGTTTGCTTACTCTTTGCCTGTTTCCTCACCTATGTACTCCCACTTAATAGGTAGGGAACCACTTACGAGGTTAAGTGACTTGCTCAGGGGCGTGCAGCCAGTAAAGATGCAGGAGGGATTTGAACCCAGGTCCATCTGATTCCAAGGCCCACATATGTGCTGTCTGAGCTGTTGTGTAACCTTCCTCATCAATGGCCAAGCACGAGTCTTAGTTTGGTTTCTGGGGGACACATGGAGCAGGGCTCATCCTTCTCGTTGGCACTCGTCCTTGACTACCAACCTCTCCCAGATGTTCACCTCACCAATGTTGCTGTGCAAAAGACCTCTCCAGACTACCACCCAAAGAAGGTGAGAAAGCTTGGCTTCTGTCCTCCAGGTCCAGCCTTTTGGGAACTGATTGGGGTAGGGAAGTGGAGTACCAAGGAGCCTATCTTGGGGTCATAATTTACCAGTGAGGTCAGGACCACCCTTCCCACTGGCAGGACCCTGGGCAAGAGTACAGATATAGACCTACACATCATGTGTCTGAATATTCAAGTGGCAACTCAAAGAAACACACCCTGTAACAAAATGTGTTCTATTCTACCTTGACAAGTATACTCCCATCTATCTATCATCTATCTATCTATCTATCTATCTATCTATCTATCTATCTATCATCTATCTATATCTATCTATCATCTATCTATCTATCGTCCTTCCATCCATCCATCTAATAACCTGTAAGGCCAAGTTCAAATTTAGAATTCTCGACTTCTCAGAGTTAAGATCTAGAACAGAGGGGCACAAGGAGAGCTGGCCCCCAGCTCACACCTACTCCCTTCTTTTCCCTCTCAGCTCTACCCCACACAGTGGGGGCCTCCTGCATACACACGCCCCCATTTTCCTGAAAACAATAACCAGTTGGTCCTCTTTGGGCCTTGGGGGTACACACAGTGCATTCTGTCCCCAGGAGGGCAGGCCCAGAGAAGAAGCCTGTGCAGGGTGTTTGGGCAGCGACTTATGGGGTCCTGGGTACTCTGTGCTCTAGAAGGAGAGGTACAGGCTCTGGGTGGGCACATCCCCCCCGCCTCTGGAGCATACAGTAGCTTTGCCCCACAAGAGGGACAAACTTAGAGTTCTTCTCATCACCAGACTCAAGCTGGGCCCCTCTTGTCCAAGCCCAAGGCCTAATGGTGATTGAGGGTCTTGGTGGGCCAGGTCCCAGTTAACTGAGGCTCCCTCTCCCACTTGACCCCGGGTGCTTGTGGCCCCAGGGCTGCAAGTGGATGCTCCAGCGCTTCCGTCAGTACCTGGCATCCAAGCACGGGCCTGAGGCAGTGGAGGCGCTCTTCAGCGATATGGACAACATCTTCGTCAGGAGCCTGCAGAGCGTGCAGAAGGTGATCATCAGTGACAAGCACTGCTTCGAGCTGTACGGCTACGACATCCTCATAGACCAGAACCTCAAGCCGTGAGTGCATAGGCTGGCGGCCAGGAGAATGGGGGGATGTTTTATACTGTGCCTCGACTGCCCAGTTTTGATCTCTGCCACTTCCGAGTCGGGCACACTTCCTTGGTTTGTGCCTCAGCTTTGCCCATTTGTAAAACGGGCATTGTGCTTACAGAATTATTTTTTTTATTAAATTTTTATGTATTTATGATAGTCACAGAGAGAGAGAGAGGCAGAGACACAGGCAGAGGGAGAAGCAGGCTCCATGCACTGGAAGCCCGATGTGGGATTCGATCCCGGGTCTCCAGGATCGCGCCCCGGGCCAAAGGCAGGCGCCAAACTGCTGCGCCACCCAGGGATCCCTGCTTACAGAATTATTACGAGGAATAAATGAGGTTCTGTCTATAGAGCACTGAACCCCATGCCTGGCACTGAGAGACCTTTGCTGAACATCTGCTGAGTCAGCGATCCTCTCCTAGAAACTTCTTTGTAAGCCCTGCTGCTTTCAGGATGCAAAGTGCCGTGTAAGGGAACATTGTTACCATGTCTCTTCCTGCCAAGAATTTGGTGCACTCCCACAGTGCCCACAGAGAAGGTTGAACGGACGAGGAAAATAAGCCTGGAGTGGTAGCGACCCCAGGGATGGTCCTCATATGATAGATACAACGGGGCACAGAAGCTCGGGGTGGGGGGGGTATTCTGCGTGCTTGGAGGTCACGCAGTAAGTCAAGGGCAGAGCCAGGCCCAAGGCCATAATTTCTGGGCTAAGCGACTCCATGCTAACACAGTGGCCTCTGGAGCCACCTCCTCCCCAGGGTCACTGGAGAGGCACTGAGGGGCTTTCCGAGCCAGGAGCTGGAGCTCTAAAATGAGACCTCTGTCAGACGCAGCTTCAAGAGAAAGAGGCTCCTGGGGCCAGCGACCTCTCCCCTGCCCCTGTTGTAAGATGCGGCTGCCGGCATTCAAGTGGACCTCCATGGGGAAACAAGCTTGGGAGGGGAAGGGGCCACTGCCACTGACAGACCGGTGAGGCCTTCGCTCTGGGGCCCCAGGTTCTTGTCCATAAATGACTGGGTTGCACAGAACCAGAGTTTGCAAGCTGGAGGCCCTTGGGCTGCTTTGACCCGCAGACACTTTGAGTTTGGACTTCAGATTGTTTTTTTTTTAAATTTTTATTTATTTATGATAGTCACAGAGAGAGAGAGAGAGGCAGAGACATAGGCAGAGGAAGAAGCAGGCTCCATGCACCGGGAGCCCGATGTGGGACTCGATCCCGGGTCTCCAGGATCACGCCCTGGGCCAAAGGCAGGTGCGAAACCGCTGCGCCACCCAGGGATCCCCAGATTGTTTTTTATCGAAGTTCACTGACAGTCTCTAAAAACGGGGAGATATTTACACAACAGTCTGGAAAACTAAGAGAGTCTCCCGACCCTGGGCTCGCACTTCTGCGCGGCAGCAGTCTCCTTGGGGGCCGTGGCAGCAAGCGCTTCCCGTGGCGGGCTCTTCCCAGCCCACCTGCTCCTGCCACCGCCAGCGGCCAGGCACTTGCCCTTCCTAGGAAAGGGAAATTTGTCTTGTACTCACGGCTCTATTGGAAGAAGAAAGAGCAATACAAGGGCGCCAAGATCATCCTGCCCCCGCAAGCTTGCCTCAGGTACCACCTGGTCCCGGTGGGGGTTTTGAGTTTGTAACAATTATTTTCAAAAAGTTTTAGCCACTGAAGCCTCTCTTCTTGTGGGGAAATGGAAAGAGTGACCTTGGTTGAATTGGGCCCAGGCACTGCATGTAGGCTCAGTGAAGTTCCAGGGCCCCCACGGACCAGGGATCCTGAAGCCCTCCGTTACCCTCCTTCCCCAGGTGGCTCCTAGAGGTCAACGCGTCCCCATCGCTGACAGCCAGCAGCCAGGAGGACTACGAGCTCAAGACCTGCCTCCTGGAAGACACCCTGCATGTCGTAGACATGGAGGCCAGGTGAGGGAGGGCAGCCGTGCTCAGGCACCCCCGTACGGGACAGTCAGGGCTCCCCCCAAGGAAGACAGAGAACTCAGAATGCTGGTGCTTGAGTGGCACTTGGATTTGGCTCAGGCCTGCAAGCCATTTTATAGATGGACAAACAGAGATGTCCACCTAGGGTTAGATCCTGATCTAAGGACTCGGCCCTTTCGGGGCAGAGCAGGACCAGCTACAGCCTTCTGACATTCAGCCCAGCAGGGTTTCCTGGACACTTCCTGGCCATGAGACGCTGGACTCTGTGTGTTTGAGCCTCAGTTTCCTCGTCTGTAAAATGGGAAGCATCACATTTACTTCTCAAGATCATAAAATTGATTTACCAAGAATATTTATTGTAAAGTGCATAACTCACAGTAAGTGTTCAGTAAGAGACTGTATATTGTCGTAACATGGTGTATGTCACTGGAAGACCCAGGGCCTGACTTCAGGAAAGGCCGAATCCAGGCACTCAGTCAGCATTGGTCAGTCTGTCTGCCCTCTCAGTATCTCCCTTTCTCCCTCTTCCTCCCTACCCTCCACCTCTTTCCTGTGGGTCACCTGTTCCCGATTATTCCAGCAAAGTTTGAGGGCTAACTCTCATGGGTGAGGATTGTGTCCTATGCCCACCTCTGAACCAGTCATTGTAACTCTGATTATCTGGGCCTAGATCTTGTGCCCACCCCCCAGCCCGGCAGGGTCAGCCCCACCTGAGCCAAGTGAGTGAGAGAAGGGATACGAGTTCTCAGAAGAAAAGCCAAGGCTAGAAGCCGAGTGCTAAGCAAGCAGAACCTCCAGTGTCCTCTAGATCTACCATCACTTCTTCATTTGACAAACATCCGAGCCCCTACTGCGTGCCAGGATCTGTGCCACACCCTGGGGACCCAGTAAAGGACACAACAGACCTAGTCCCTGCTTTTCTAGAGTTAATGGTCCAGGAAGGACAGACAGCAGACTCTAAATGGGTTCATGTTACCAAGGGCAGGGGTGGAAGCCTGGGGACAACGTGGGAGATGGCCCTCTGCCTCCTGCTTGGGCCCCAGGAAATGGGTGGGCCAGAGGACTAGTGACAGCAGGGCACCAGTAGGGTGCAGGGAGGGAGCAGGTGCCTGGCTGCGGTGTTAGGGCTCCACATGTGCACCTTCATTATCCCCTTGTATCTCCTGCCTGTCCAGGCTCACAGGAAGGGAGAAGCGAGTGGGAGGCTTTGACCTCATGTGGAATGATGGCCCTGTCAGCAGAGAAGAGGGGACTCCTGACCTGTCAGGGATGGGGAACTTTGTGACCAACACACACCTCGGTATGTGGGGCCAGGTGGGGAATGGGCACCAGGGATGTCATGAGAGAGGCCAGGTAGCCTAGGAGACAGCTTGGCACAGTGGTTAGACTGTTTTGATTTGATCTACAATTTACCAGCTGTGTGGCCTTGGGCAAGGGACTTAACCTCTCTGTTCCTCATCTGTAGAATGGAGATTAAGAGGTTTGTAATCTCAATATATGCCTAGAACATCACCTGGTACGTAGCAAGAAATATTATTAATCTGTCAGGAAGTAGATTTCAAAAGGCTTAGTAGAAAACAACCCCCCCGGAAATGCAAACTATGTTAAGAGAAATTCAGGGCTTGACTTTAAACTTGGTTTTTAAAAAGTGAAACATTTTCTTGATTATAAAAAGTATTCACTTACTGTAGGATATTTGAAAACTAAAAGGAAATAAACCGTCCAGACATAACCAACTTTAACAATCTGTTGTATTTCCTTCCAGTTTTTCAAAAATGCATATATTCACACTTTTTTACAAAATTGGCATTGGGCTGGAGTTTTGAGTCACACTTTTCCACGTAGCATATTCCATGTCATTCAACAATATTAAGAGGCTCTCTTCTGGAAACACATTTTGGCCAGGTCCGAGCTAAATATTTTACATACGTTATTTCATGCTTAGGCAGCTTCTGTCATTTTACAGATGGGGAAATGGTCTCCAGATGTTATATAACTTGCTGAGGGTCCCAGTTCTAAGTGGTGAGCCAGACCTTGAGCCCTAACCTCTCTTACTTGAAAACCTGAATGCTTGATCGCTAGAAAATCCTGTCCCTTAGCACAGTTAAAAGCAAAATTACTACAGGGCTGTAAAATATCCCAGCTTGTATACGTGCCAACCTTACTAAACCCATTTCTTATAATTGACCATTTGGGAGGATTCCAATTTTTTACTTTTATAAATAATGCCATGCCATGATGAACATCCTCTCACATAAAGCTCAGCTGAAATTCTGGCTGTTTCTTTAGGACAGATTCCTAGAATTACTGGGTCAGAGGGATGGACTTATTACAGCCAAATTTCTTTCTAGAAAGATTACACACAAATCTGCCTGTTCTTGAGTTAACGAAGAGAGAAAGAAGGAAAAAAAAAAACCTTTGTCAACTTGATAGGCAAAAAAATTCTGATTTGTTTTATATAATATATTCCACTGATTACTGGTGAGGTTTCAGATTTTTCAATTTGCATTTCTTCTTTCATAAGCTGACCATACTCTATGTATTTTTCAGTGGGCTGAATCTATAAAGGCCTTGGATATTAATAGATTGATATTACCCATCTGTCAAACTTATGATATTTTCCTGAAGTCGTTATTTGCTTTTTAAATTTTATTTGTGGCTTTTTTTATGAAAAGAAGTTGGTTATTTTTAAAAGGTGTTATTCATCTATTCATGAGAGACACAGAGTGAGAGGCAGAGACATAGAGGGAGGAGAAGCAGGCTCCATGCAAGGAGCCCGATGCAACTCAATCCTGGGACTCTGGGATCATGCCCTGAGCTGAAGGCAGACACCCAACCGCTGAGCCACTCAGGCGTCCCTGAAAAGTTTTAAATCTTTTTTATAGCTTAGTGTTTTAGGATTGAGTTAGGCTACAAGCAACTGAAAAGCCAACTAAGAGTTACACAATGAGGGAATGATCTGTCTTGAGCCATAGGAAGTCTTGGGGTAGGCTTGGCAGGGCTGACACAATGTATGCAAGATGTTGGCAGAGACCCTTTCCTCTTTCCACTTTGCCACACTTAGCAGGTTGCGTTGGTGCTCATGCTTGTTGCCTCATGGTTGCAAGATGGCTGCTCCAACCCCAGACACTGTGTCCTTGTCCCAGGCAGGAAGAAGCAGAAAGGCCCAAGGGCCAAAGCTTTTTCTTCAAGTTTTGACTCTATTCCAAACGGGAAACCTTCCCAGGGCTAACACCATACTGGCAAGAACTGGGTCACGTGGCCACCTCAACTGCAAGGAAGCCTGGGATATCAAGTAATTTGCTTGAGGAAGGTGGAGGAGAGGGGATTTATGAAAGACTTTTGTCCAGCAGATTCCCTAGGTTTGCCACGTTGTGTTTTGAAAGAGGCCTATCCAGTGCTCTCAAGCTTTAATGTGCAAATAATCATGTGGAAATCTTGTTAAAGTGCAGATTATGATTCAGTAGGTCTGGAGTGGGGGCTTAAGATTCTACATTTCTAATAAGCTCCCATGATGCTCTATTATTTAACTATTGCTATATAACAAAACCAACCCTCCCCAAACCCAGAGGTTTTAAACAATTACTGTCTTATTTGCTGATTCTTCAGCTCTTGCCTGGGGTTGCTCCTAGGACTGCAGGCCCCCAGCAGATTCACTGAGACACAATGGCCTAGAATAGCCTCGTTCATGTGTGGTGGTTGATACAGGCTGGCAACTGGGCCTCTCTTTCAAGGCGGCCACTTGTCCTCCAGCAGTCCAGCCCTGGCTTCCACATGGTAGTCTCAGGGTTCTGAGAAGGTGAGAGAAGTCCTGGTGAAGTCTCTTGAGGGCGAGGCTCACAATCCCTCAGTGTAGTGTCATTCCGCTAAAATCTGTTTGTCAAAGCTGCTCCAGCCCAGATTCACAGGGCAAGGAAATAGACCCCATTTCCAGATGGAGGTGCAGCAAAGCACCTTGCAGAGATGTGTGCATAGAGGAACGGAAGGAATCGTTGCAGCCATCTTTGCCAATCATTGGCCTCAGATATGCTGCTGGTCTCTGGACCCAGTTGGAGTTGCAAAGATGTAGAACAGCGGTCCTCCATCTTGGCTGCTATAGGAATTCTACAGGAGCTTTCAAAAATATTAATGCTTGCCGAAAGTAAAGATACAGTTGGTCTGGCCATTAGTCTTTCTGAAAGGTCCCAGCTGACTCTAAAGCACAGCCTAGGTTGACAGTCACTGCCTTAGAAGTCTCTAAAATAATCCCCAAGGCTCCATTCGAGTGTCTGGATAGATGGTAGTGAGTACAAGAGAAGCTGGTTGGGGTGGGAAGAGCATCGATGAAATGAGTTAGGGAGGGGTCCAGGGGTTTCTGGGTGAAAAAAAAACTAGCATGTAACTCAGAGATGAGTCTAGAACTGTAAGAAGGGGTTTGCATTGGACATGAAGATTTGGGAGTTATGAAAGAACCAATTAAAGTTAGGGTTCCATGGAACTCACTTTGGAAAACCCTGGAACACTTAGAGTGGGCCTCAGCTGGGTGGAGCCTTGATGACCAGTGAGTGCCTAGGAGGCAGGGCTGGGGCTCAGAGGTGCTGAGAAAGATGGCATATGCATCCAGGTCTGTATAGTTGTGGCCACAGAAATCCAGTCATTCAACCAGCATTTCTGAGTGCATCAGTGTGTCTGGCCCAACTAAATGACCACGGAGCTGTCTCACAGGCCATTTGTGAGAACACACACGAAGTAGGGGACACCGTGAATGTGCTAGGAGAGGAGGCAGCTCAGAAGCTCGTGTTGGCCTCTTAAGCAGGGACTGCCTGGGACACTTCCAGGGGCGGAGGGGCCGCTCGTGGAGAAATTTTCTCTCTTAACCACTTGTGGCTCCCCTATGGAGTTGCACAGAGAAGGAAGCTAACACCTAACCTATTAGGTACCATGCACCGTGCTAGCTTGTGATGCATGACCAGTGAGCAAAGCCAAGAGGAAGGTTGTGTGGAGCAGTGGTTAAGAGCTTGGCCTCTGGCGCTACATAGCCTGGGTTCAAGTCTCAGTTCTGCTACTTGCAGAGTGATTTGGAGCACTTTTTTTTTAAACCTCTGAGCTGCAGTCTCTTCTACACATCATTCCTGTGAATCGATTTGGCATCTGGGTCAAAGTAAGCCAAAGTGAATGTCACTCTTTTTTGGTGATCCTTATATTCACTCCAGAAAGCAGGTATCCTGGTAAGCTGGAAGCGGGTAAAATACCTGCCTGAAGGCCACGGAATAGAGTCAGGACGCAAACCATCAGGGATGCGCAGACCCTCCCAGCTGGTAGTGGGAGCACAGTGTTCCCCCCACCCACCCCAAGGCCATCCCAACCAACACTCCACTTCCCTTCCAGGGTGCGTCAACGACCGGAGCAATCAGCTGAAGCAGCTGTTCCGCTCCCTTCAGAGCCAGAAGAAAGCCTCCAGTTAAGTTCCCAGCTGCAGGGAGGACAGCGACCCCAGGAAGGTGCTCCGCAGTCCTTGCCTACCTGTTTCCAGCACCGTGGCTGGCGACCTGGAGCCCTTGCCTCCCCTCCTCTGGCCTGGCAGCAGCTTTGCGGGCTCAGCAGCCTGTGGTGCGCGGCTCACTGCTCATTCTGGGCGCCCTGGAGACCCCAGGCCCACCCTGGGCACCTGTGCGCTGGGAGACAGCCAGTCCCTGGGAATGGGTGTGCTTTAGCCTTGCAGGACTGGCTTGGCAATCAGGCCCAGGGAGGACAGCGGCAAGCCCCGCTACCCCAGAGACCATATCCAATAAATGAGCACAGGCCTTAGTTGGGAGTCACTGCGCACTGGACCTGGTTCAGGGGATGCTGTTTGCTGACACCAAGTCCTCCTGGGTTTGACCCTTTGATGTCTCCAAGGTCAGTGCTAAAATGATCCTTCAGAAGCAAGGGTTCAGAGACTAGGGAACTGGTCTTAAGGTGTGCAAGCAGTCATTAGACTGTGTTTATTGGGCTCTGGGGAAGGGCTGAGCCCTAAATACACCTTTCTCTCCTTGAAACTCCCAAGCAGGAGAAATGGAGAATCCCCAATTTCTCAGATAGACAAGGTAAAGGTAAGGAAGGCTGAGGGATCCCTGGGTGGCGCAGCGGTTTGGCGCCTGCCTTTGGCCCAGGGCGCGATCCTGGAGACTCGGGATCGAATCCCACATCGGGCTCCCGGTGCATGGAGCCTGCTTCTCCCTCTGTGTCTCTGCCTCTCTCTCTATCATAAAAACATTAAAAAAAAAAAAAAAAAAAAAAAAAAAAGGAAGGCTGAGCTGCTTAGCGAGGTCTCTACAAACAGGTACTTATGGGGAAGTCAGCTGGGTGATGGAGGTGCCTCTCTGCACCTTCTTGTTTCAGGCTGGGAGCTGAGCTTTTTAAACAGAAAGCCTTGGCCTGGCAGGCAAGAAGATGGCTTGGAGAGTTGGGTGCAAGTACAAGTTCTGCATTTTCTATATATTCCCCATTCCTAAGCCTCCTCTAGGTTTAAGAAAGATTGCAAGAGAGCGGGCTATGGGCAAACTCGACAGGGACCTACTATGGAACCCCAGGCCGATTGTTACAATTATCCCTGCTGCAAGACAGGCAGATTTTGACTGCCTAGGGAAGGGAAGGGTTTTTGGAAGGTACAATACTGGCAAACCCAAGACGTGAACCAGCCAGCCTTGGGAAGGCCAGAAGCCAGGTCACTCTGGGTCTCTTGCGTCCAGAGCGTGGGGACTTCTATCCTTGTGACTGAGGCAAGGGCAGACAGCCCAACACAGGTTCCTCATTTCCAGGACAGCCAAGGTGATTGGCTCTCCCTTGGCCTAGCAACCACACTGCCAGACAGGTAAGGGCAATGTTCAGATACAAATCAGGAGCCAGGCACACAACCCAGACAGCAGCTACCAGGGTGAATGCTGCAGCTCCCTACTCCCTACATTTTTATTTAAAAATACATACAACATGAATGTGTCCTCTTCACTCTCGTGCTCCAGCCCTGGAGTTTGTTTTGGGTGGGATCATGCACTGTTTGCACACTGGCTTTAGACTCCCATTTGTCCACTTTCATTTCTCACTACATCTTGGAACTTGTTCTCAGTGCTCAGAGAGCTTCCTTATTCTTTATGATAGATGTACTGTACTCCACTGTCTGGAGCCATCAGTTCGTTTAACTAATCTACTATAGGCAGACATCTAGCTTCCAATTCTACCTGCCCACTTTAGGGTCATCATGGGGAAAACACATGCTACTTCTACTTAAAAAATTGAAGATGTAAAATCATAGGCATGGGTCAAATTTGGCTTATGTCAGGTATTCTGTTTGGCCAACACCCAAGTCTTTAAAAATTTCTGCATTAGCAATATTTAAAAGACAGAAAAGGGGATCCCTGGGTGGCGCAGCGGTTTGGCGCCTGCCTTTGGCCCAGGGCGCGATCCTGGAGACCCGGGATCAAATCCCACATCGGGCTCCCGGTGCATGGAGCCTGCTTCTCCCTCTGCCTATGTCTCTGCCTCTCACTCTCTCTCTGTGACTATCATAACTAAATAAAAATTAAAAAAAAAAAAAAACACAGAAAAATAAAAGACAGAAAAGATTCAACTTAAAAATCCAAATTTCTAGCTTCTCTGAAAACAAATGTTAAGATCTGGCCATACCAGCTTGTGTTTCCATATAATTATGGGCTGTAGACAAGTGGGGTGAGGGGACCCAGGTGAGGCACGTGCTCTCCATTCTGCAGCCATCACTGTTACTGCCTATCTAATCCTGCTATCATTTCCCGGCAGGAGCCACTGCCCCTTTGTAGGTGGTGTGCTTGAGGCAGTGTGCCCTCCATTAAGGATGAGATGAGGTAAAGAACAGAAGCTCCTGTTCAGTCATTTAGGAAACATTTATTAAGCCCTCAATGAACATTAAAGAGATGATGCTGCCCTCACAGCACATTCACACCAGGATCCGAGACCACTGAGGACAGGCGGGAACTGAGTGGTGCTGGCCATGTCTTCAGAGGTGGTGGAGGGCCTCGTGAAGAGGCAGCTCCCTCTCCCACCCCCAGTACAGAACTCTGTAAGGCTTTCCTGACTAAACAGCAAGTGCAGGAGTTTGATAAGCAGCACCCACTCTGGGCTCCATCCCAGGGGCAAGCAGGAAAAAAGGACCAAAGTGGAGGCAGTGGTGGGGAATGGTGTGTCTGCCCCACAGATGGCTGGGGTGAACGATGGAGCACCAAGATTCTATCCTTTCAGAAACCACCTACCTGTGAGCCTCCTGCTTTAGTCCAAGTCCACTACATGATGTTTGAGAATGCCTCTCTTCCTGAAAGGAATGCAGGAATCATGCTCCCTGTACTCCCCCGCCACTGCCAGGGGCCCATGTGAACAGCAGGCTCTTGTTACGAGTGCCTGTTTCGGTCATTCTCACACCCCCAAAGCACTGCCCCCACCCACCTCTGGTGGCTGCCAGGACCTATCAATGGGTCTTGTGTCCATCCAACTCCAGTGGCCAGACCCAACAAACACTGGCAGGCTGAGGGCTCCCTCCTGTCGTCACAGAGCAGCCAATCCCCACAGACAGAGGCTTCTCATGCTCAGACTCCTGATGCCTATCTCCTAGCAGGGTAGTTCATGTCCTTGCAAGTTACAAAGTTGGAGAGTCCTGGGTCCGCCATGACCTCAGGGGGGATGCTATCTTAGATCCCTCATTTTGGCTTTTGAGTTTCATCCTTTTAAGATGATCTTCAGAGCTTTAAGTTCATCCTGGTTGAGGGGGCTCAGGTTAAAACCCTTCAGCTCTGGCTTGCCTAGGGGGAGAAAACAATCATCAGCAAGTTGGGCTTCCTGTTGTCCAACCTCCTGCTGGCCCTGGAGTCAGGCCCAGGAAAGGGGCTTATGCTGCATTCATGTGCCAAACACTTGGCCCAAGATCTAGCGGGGGAGGGCCTCAAATTCTGCAATGTATTGGACGGGGCACATGAGTCACCAAGAACCTGCAGAGCCATGATACTGCTGCCCAGAAACCTACCAATTTCTGCCAAACCTGTGACCAATCTGGAGTGGTTAGCTTTACCCAGAAGTTCAACTCTGACCTTGACCATCTGACTGAGGCCCTCTCTGTTCCCCTCAGACAGAACTGTCCTGGTTCCTATACCACGCCCAGGATATACTGTGAGATACCCCAGACTGTTCCCCTTATGGCTGGAAAAAGACTCGTGAGAGGAATAAGACCCCACAAACCTTGTCCATTCCATCTCTGGGCCTGCCAATAGCCTCCGTGCGGCTCACATGCTGCCTAGGCCCTCGCCCGCCTACCTGGGAAGGTCTCCCACCCCTGCTCTGCAAAGTCCACACTGACATTGACAGTTCTCTCCCAGCCTGGCTTCCAGTTCCCTCCAGGCCCATACCTTGGGCCTCAAAGAGGCGGTTGACCTTCACTTTAAGTTGTTTCCGGAGTTTCTCTATTTCTTTATCCAGATGATCCTGATCTGAAAAAAATGAGGTGGGCAGCAGATGGGGTTATACTACAGACACACTGACCAAAGGCAGCTGGGGAAGTCAGCTTCTCCTAGCCTCCTTGAAAGCAAGGGCTCCTGGCATTCGGGAAGAAGGGGACTTCAGAGACCAACTGAGGAAGGAACTAAAGGGCTAGAGAAAGGGAGGTGGTCTGCCCAAGAAGGCTGAGTGAGTCCAGGCAGGACTGAGCACCCGCCTCTCCATCCAGTGACCTGTTTTCATTATGCAATGTACCCTGGGCTGCTCATGGGTGGAGAAGGCAATATCTGGACTTTAGGACCCCCTCCCACAGTGAAATTCCAGAAAACAGAACCATCAGACCAGAATGAAGAACCTAGACTCAGCACATCCAAGATGCTTGGAAAAAGTGTGGCTAAGGAATCTTACAAACCTAAGTCCATCAAAATGAGCAGTTTTTAAGCAACATGACCATAGTAACATGTGATCTGAACAATCAATGGGCAAATCTGGTGCTCAAGCTTAATCTAATTAACTGTGGTGAACAGAAAAGGTTATCTTGCCAAGATGGATCACATCTGAAGGCAAACTGCACTACAGGAAGTACAGGCTACAAAGCTTGGTGATGCAACTGCCTAATGTCACCTGACTTCACCTGCTCATGACTGAAGTGCTGGCTAGTTGGTCTTCTCCACAGATTTTCATTCTTTCTGATGGAGAGAAGCTCTGAGCAGCCGAGCCCTCTGGCCTGGGCAATGGTTCTAGTACTCATGGTAAATGAGCAATGCTAGTCTCTTACAAGTTTATTTAACTTGCATCAATCCCTAAGAACTGGTGATGATAATATCCCAGAACCCTTCTAGGTATGGCGACAACCCACAACTGTGGGCCAAGACAGCTGAGAACCTGAGTGGCCAGCAGCCCACCACCCAAGTGCAATGACAACTCTTAATTTTATAGTCATAACAGTATTGTGTATTTTTTCAACAGGAAGGTGGAAACTTCTCTAAGGGGATCTAGTCTCCTTTGCTATAATTTTATTTCAACAGGGATAGGGAGCCTCTGCCTTCAGGGACAGAGGCAACCTTGCTGGTCCTCTTGGCACATACATTTTCGACGGGGGAATATACATAATCTTTCATTTTTCCAGCCAAGGACCCATCTGTACCTTCCCTTTTGTACTTTTATGATGCTCCTCCAAAGAGCCCCCAGGATCATGCCTGCGAAGATTTGAGTAACATGCTCAGTACCCAGGCTGTGGCACACTCTAGAGGCTCACTCTCCTCAAACCTCCATTTTCAGTGCAATCTCTATGGCAGGGGATGTGAAAAGTAAAAGTGCCTCTGCCAGGCTCCCTTGCAGCTATGGTGGCCACATGACTTAGTTCTGGCCAATGAGACGTCAAAAGTCTCTGAGGACAGCATTATTTTGAAATAGAAAACAAGGCCATGTATGGAAAGCCCTCTGTTGCTCCTGCAGCCTGGCCTATGGACATGAGGCCTGAAATGACACAGCCACTATGAGAATACATGAGGGTGACCTTGCTGGGTCTCAGTGCCAGTGTTAGACTGCACTGCCCACCTTTGGACAACTACTAACAAGAAAAACAAAACTATATTTCTTTAAGCCTCCACTTGTTGGGTTTTCTTTATCTGTGGTCCAGCTCGTTCCTCACTGCTAAACAAGCACTAGGCTAAGTACACATACAGTTTTAGCTCAATTTCACAATAACTATGCTCTGGAGATGCATCCCCTCCTACAGAGATAAGGAAATAACTCAGAGTAGCAGAGCAGGAATTAAAACCCACATTTGTCTGAGCACTGCCTCTCATCAAATGGTCCAAAGCCTGACTCTCAGTTCTAGGTTAAGACTAATGCTATGTGGCACACGTCCCTGACCCATCCCCAGAAAGCCTTACCTTTCTCAATCATTTCCTTCGTTTGAGGGTGAGGCATCTTGATAAACATGTTCCCGAAGCAAACCATCACATCTTCTGAAATGGCAAATGGTCACTCTTTGAACAAATATTTTAAGCACCTACTCTCTGCCAAGCATTGTTTAAGATACTGAGAACATAGCAGAATAAGACAAAGCTTCTGCCCTCATAGAGCTTATGACATAGTGGAGGAGAAGGAATAAATAAGCCAAGATATGATTTGTCAGACCTTGATAAGGCTAAATACTCTGGAGAAAAATAAAGCAGGGTAAGGGGGTGGGGAATGCCAGAGTACAGGACAACCTTGTTACTTTAACAGATGGTCCAACAAAGCCTCACTGATTATGTGACATTTGGGCAGAGACCTGAAGAAAGTGAGGCATAGGCCCTGCACGTCTCCCCCCCAAAGCTCTTCATTATGACCACTGTAACCTTCATTATGATACCCGTCCCCTTACTTGGTCATACCCACCTGGCCTCAACTAGAGCCCTCAAACCCTTCCTCCAGCACCCACCCCATGTCCAGTCCCTTTTTTTTTTCTGTCCAATTCCTTCCTCAGCTCTCTTACAACTTCCAATTAAAACAACAAAAAAAAAAAACAAAAAACTTCCAACTAAGTATTATGTAGTTTTATTTGTAAGAGCACACCTCACCCTAGCACCTTCCTCATGCCACCAATGAGCCAGCAACTAACACCCCCCCACACCCCACCCCCGTCATGGAGATGAGCGCTGAAACCACTCTGTATCAGACCTCCAACATTTTCTCCCTCATCTCCACAGGCTGTGTCACACAACTGTGGCTTTTTGTCCCTATCAGGGATAAATTGAAAGCCTTACAAGAAAAACAGAACAGGCCCCCAGGACTGCATGACTGAAACCTTGACTTACCAGAGAGGCTGAGATCCTTCTGTAGGGCTCGTAGGCCCTCCCGGTTCTGATTTCTTTTGGTGTCCAGGTCCACAATCTGCAAAGCACATGGGCAGGAGGGAACTCAGCTCCCTCTTGCCCCAAACCATCACCTTCCCACAGACCAGGGGCTGTTAAAACCCAATAGAGACAAGGCATCATTCCTGAGTTTCTTCCAATGTCATGCCTAAAACACACTGATGTGTAAATGTACGTCTTCCCCTATTCTGTATCCAGGTCCTTAAAGACAATGCTCTGTGCAGGGGCCTTCCCTCTCCCTGGTGCTGGGGAATCCACTGAAGTGCTAATGCTCAAGCTTCAGGGCATTTCAGAATCTCCAAGAGAGGAGAAACCTCCCCCTGGACTAGTTCCTCCAGCTGATTCTGACCTAGTATCACAAGAAGCCCAAAAATACTAGACTGCAACGACAGGGGTGGGGGGCACGGAGATGGCACCAACACAGAAGCTGCTATGGAAGTGAGGAGGCAGTACGGTTGAGAACGCTGGCGAGCTGTGTAACTTCACCTTCTGGGAAATGGAGATATGAATAGCACCTGCCTCACAGGTTACTGAGCCAGGAATTAAATGAGCTAGCATAGTATTTGACACACAGTAAGTGCTTGAGACATTTTAACCACCACTTTATCATCATCCAGCACACGCTGATGCAGTGTTTATTTTTAAAATATGAATACTCATGAAAGTTTGGTTTTATTTATGATAGTCACACACACACACACACAAAGAGAGAGAGAGAGAGAGGCAGAGGGAGAAGCAGGCTCCATGCACCGGGAGCCCGACGTGGGATTCGATCCCAGGTCTCCAGGATCGCGCCCTGGGCCAAAGGCAGGCGCCAAACCGCTGCGCCACCCAGGGATCCCCTGATGCAGTGTTTAATGGGCACTTACCCAAGTCTTCCCCTTCTCAGTAAATATCCGACCAATCATCCAATTATTCTAACTGGAGATGAGGAGCCATGAATCATTGTTCACTCCTCCTCCTCCCTCACCCCCATATGTAACTATCATTAAGACCTACTAAATCCAACTCCAAAAGATACCTCAGACCCACGCACTTGTCTCCTTCACCACCACCCTGGCCCAAACCCATTCCTTGCCTGAACCCCGGCAGTGGCCCCTCACATGTCCCTCACCCTTCTAGGCTCTGTGCTCCACCCCGCAGCCAGAGGAAATCTTTTAAAAGTCCAGATCCAATTACATCCTCCTCCCTTCCCCCGTTAACTCCCTCCAAACACTTAGCACTTGAATTAGCACAAAGCGTCCCCACCTGCCCAACGTCAAAACTACTCAGGCCCCTTTTCCTCTTCTCCCGAGAACCTTGGCGAAGACAGGGCACCCACGGTCGGGGGGGCAGGGGAGGGGGGGAGGAGGAGGAACTGCATTTTGAAAAAGGTGTTGAGCCGTTACCCAAAGAGATAACTCGGGATCCGGAGGGGGACGGAGACAGGGGTCCGTGGCACCAAGCAGGGGCTCCTAGTACGTGCGTGAAGCGCAGCGCCGGGCCAGGCGTCCGGCCCTCCCTGCCTCACCGCCGCCCCAGGTCCGAGGTCATGGCCCACGGCCAGCCCGCGCCACAGCCGGATTCCGGGCCCCGCGCGCGGCCCTACGGCGCCAGCCGCCAGGCCCCGACCGCCGAGCCCCGGCCCCGGGCCGCGGAGGAGCCTCCCACCTGCCGCTTGTCCGCCAGCACCGCCTCGGCGAGCTCCTCCACCTCCACCAGGTACCGCAGCACCCGCTCCGCTTCGGGGGACAGCATGGGGCCCGCCAGCTCCGACTCAGCCGGGACCGGGGAGCGAGCCCGGCTCCAACACCGGTAAGGCTCGGCTCCGCCTGCGCACGCGCACGGCCAGGGCTTCCGGCGCGCACGCGCAATTAAAAGAAGAGTGGTGCGCAGGCGCCAACGCCCGGGCGTCCTTGGGACGCGAGAGGCGGGGCCTAGCCTTGGGGCGGGACTGGAGCGCCCCCTGCAGACTCAGAGGGCGTAGGCCGCAGAGCTGCCTCTTTTTTTTTTTGTATATATATATATATATATTAAGATTTTATTTATTTATTCATGAGAGACAGAGAGAGAGGCAGAGACACAGGCAGAGGGAGAAGCAGGCTCCATGCAGGGAGCCCGATGTGGGACTCGATCCTGGGACTGCAGGATCACACCCTGGGCCGAAGCCGGCGCTAAACCGCTGAGCCACCCGGGCGTCCCTGTATGTTTTAATTGGAGTTCAATTTGCCAACATATAGCGTAACACCCGGCGCTCATCCCGTCAAGTGCCCCCCTCAGTGCCCGTCACCCAGTCACCCCCACCCCCCACCCACCTCCCCTTCCACCACCCCCTTTTCGTTTCCCAGAGTTAGGAGTCTCTCATGTTCTGTCTCCCTCACCGATGTTTTCACTCATTTTCTCTCCTTTCCCCTTTATTCCCTTTCACTAATTTTTATAATCCCCAAATGAATGAGACCATATAATGTTTGTCCTTCTCCGATTGAGTCATTTCACTCAGCATAATACCCTCCAGTTCCATCCACGTCGAAGCAAATGGTCAGATTCGTCCTTTCTGATGGCTGAGTAATATTCCATTGTATACATAGACCACAGCTTCTTTATCCATTCATCTCCGGATGGACACCGAGGCTCCTTCCACAGTTTGGCTATTGTGGACTTTGCTGCTATAAACATAGGGGTGCAGATGTCTTGGTTTTTCACTGCATCTGTGTCCCAGCAGTTCAATTGCTGGGTCGTAGGGCAGATCTATTTTTAACTCTTTGAGGAACCTCCACACAGTTTTCCAGAGTGACTGCACCAGTTCACATTCCCTCCAACAGTGCAAGAGGATTCCCCTTTTTTCACATCCTGTCCAACATCTGTTGTTTCCTGTCTTGTTAATTTTCCCCATTCTCACTGGTGTGAGGTGGCATCTCATTGCGGTTTTGATTTGTATTTCCCTGATGGCAGGTGATGCAGAACATTTTCTCATGTGCATGTTGGCCATGTCTATGTCTTCTGGTGAGATTTCTGTTCATGTTTTTTGCCCATTTCATGATTGGATTGTTTATTTCTTTGCTGTTGAGTTTAATAAGTTCTTTTTTTTTAAATTTATGATAGTCACACACACACACACACACACACAGAGAGAGAGAGAGAGAGAGAGAGAGGGCGCAGAGACACAGGCAGAGGGAGAAGCAGGCTCCATGCACCGGGAGCCCAACGTGGGATTCGATCCCAGGTCTCCAGGATTGCGCCCTGGGCCAAAAGCAGGTGCCAAACCGCTGCGCCACCCAGGGATCCCGAGTTTAATAAGTTCTTTAGAGATCTTGGATACTAGCCCTTTATCTGATATGTCTGCAGAGCTGCCTCTTAACGCTCCTGCCTCCCTTTCTCTGTTTCTTGAGCACCTGCTAGGTGCCAGGCAGTTTTAGGTGCTGAGGATGTCACAGTGAACAAAACACAGTCCCTGCCCTCATGCAACTTCATCCTAATGGGAAACAATGACAATTTATGACAAAACAAGTAGTTACATACTATGGCAGGCAGTGATAAGTGTTTTGGAGTAATACAAATCATTCTTCCCCTGTTTAAGGAATACCAAGAAGGTCCACGTGTCAGTGTTACTTCTGTTTAACCTCTGACACCTTCCGTTGCCAATTTATAAAATGGGAGTGAATAAAAATCCCCTTCATTGTCTCTCCGCGGGATCAGAAGGAGGCAGAAATTTTTTTTTAAGATTTTATTTATTCATGAGAGACACACAGAGAGCAGCAGAGGCACAGGCAGAGGGAGAGGAAGCCTTCCCGCTTGGACCTTGATGGGGGACTCAATCCCCGGGATCACGACCTGAGCCAAAGGCAGACAGACGCTCAACCACTGAGCCACCCAGGTTCCCAGCAGGAATCACTTTTTAAATTCTGTTTTCAGCAGTATTCATTGAGCCCCTGTCTTGGGCCCAATATCCAGAGCAATTGACCTAGACCCACGGAAGGGGCTGAAAACCATGTGCAGTTCAGCTCAGAAAAGAAGTTCTGTTTTGAAAAAAAAAAAAGTTCTGTAAGTGCTAGAAAGCAAATCGGTGTGAACCATAGGATTTGGAAGGACCTCCAAGAAGAGGCAGGCAGGCAGAATGTGGCTGCCCTTCAGAACAAGAAGGTCCCCTAGAGATCTCCATGCCCAAACCCCTCATTGCACAGCTGAAAACACTGAGGCCCAGAGAGCAGTGAGGAGCTTACAAAGTCAACAGCAGACCTGATACTAGAATTCTGACCTCCTGCCTCCCTGATTCTAGCTTTTTTATTCTCTCATCAGGCCCCCTGGTCACCAAGCCCTTTCACATCACTTGCCTTACTTGAATTTCATGATTTTTGTACAGATGGGTTATTACTGCCCATTTCATAGCTGCGAGCTCAGGCCAGGAGAAGGGCAATGCTTTGCCACACAGAAAGTCAGGAGCAAACGTGTGTCTAGAAGCATTCTGGTCTCCATACCACAGCCGTCTCTGGACCCTGAAAAAAACCGTCTCCCCCAGATTATGGCCCACAAGCCCCAGTAGCACTGCCTCTTTGCCTGGCCTTTGGCTTCCTTCAAGTGCTAGAGACAGCTAATTTTCCCTGCAGCTGCCCTGCATAGAGAAAGAAGGAGATTCATTAAGGATTCCTCACTGAGGGTGAATTTGTCGCCAAACCCAAGATGTTTTGTGTAAACACCTTCTGGTTCAGAAACGCAGGCACAGGCCCTATGAAGAAAGAAAGAACATTTGCCAAAGGAGAAATAGGGCTTAGGAGGACTCCCTGAGCCCTAAATCTCAGGCCTGGGTCTCTTCCACACTGGAGCCCAAAGAGGAGCAGACCAGGCTGACCCTTGACCCCGACCCCTGACCCGTGCCAGATGGGCCTGGATGGAGAAAGGTTGAAGTAGGCTCCCAAACTGACTGTGACTGGCCCCTAAAGTCATATGTCTCACTTATGTTTAGAATAATCTATTCCACAATATTGACTGTCCTGACCTTGTTATAGGGATTCCACCACGAGCAAAAACCAGACATGGTCCTTGTTCTTAGAAACCTTCCAGTCTGGCAGAAGAGACAGATGATCGATACATGAACATGTAAATATATCAAAGGTCAGGTGGATAAATGCTTTGGAAAACAACAGTACTGGACAAGGTGAAGGAAAAATGATGGAGGGGCTATATGGTGGGCAGGGAGGGCTTCTCTGAAGAGGATGGACTGGAGCAGAGATATGGAATAGATGAGGGGCAAGCGATGTGAATGTCTGGGGGAAAGTGTTCCAGGCAGAGGGAACAGCCAATATGAAGGACCTGAGATGAGGCTTTTGGCAAATTGAAAGAATAGCAAGGCCAGTGTAGGTAGAAGAGAATGAGCAAGGGGAAGAAGTAGGAGATGAGGTCAGAAAGGGGAGGGAGGCATTAAACAAATGGTTCTATAGAAGGGGCTGTAGGTGCCCTGCCCAAATCAGTAAGCTCTCCCTTGAAGTCACCTGTGAACAATCGTGCACAGGCCTGTGGCTTCCTGCTTCTCTCTGCTCACGGGTGCGAGTTGAGTTGGGGGAATGCTGGTGAGCTAAGGCCCGCAGGAGTGACCCTTAACCAAGAAGAGAGAAGAGTTAGTGACTGCATATCCCATCTTCTTTGCCTCTCTGTGGGAGACCCAAGAGGAGGCTGCTACACTCATCCAAGTAAGAGAGGGTGGTCATTGCACCAAGGAGTAGCAAGTGGGGGTAGCAGGCAAGGGGGTCATCTCAGGGCCTTTGCACTCATTCCTCCATTAGCCTGGATTAATTTTCTGCCACACCTTTGTACCTGTGTCAAGGTATACCTCCACTTATCAGCTTGGTGTCACCTCTTCCCAAGGGTCAGGAGTCTTCTCTGGGCCCACACAGCTTCCCGGGCATCCCCGATCTCCGTGCTTAAATATTATCTTTTTCTCCAATCATCTCCCTCTCCAGCCATAAGCTCCAGGGCAGAAACCATAACTGCTATGTCTCTAGAACTCAGAATGGTGCCTGGCACAGAGTGCTTAGCCAATGTTTACGGAATGAAAGCAGAACTTTCTAAAATCTGAAGTAGTCAAAGATGAACAGAGCTAACTCGAGGGTAACTAGTTCAAATTCCAGAAGGAAGCCTGGACTGCCACATGGTCAGAATATTGCAGACGATGAATCTCTCTGCAGCCTCAGGTGGGGGCTTGGGAGATGGGCCAGGGTCTGGAGGATGTGGGGGTGATCCCTAACCAGAAAAACCCTGCCTGGTCACACTGGGTATGTCCCCAATCTTTAGCCACCCTAAGGCTAGGCCAAAAGGGACATGGTTGCTGGGACTTTGGTGTTTGGGGACTGGAGCCAACATGAGGAATGCTGTGCCCATTCCGCTAGGATCCCCTTTTACTGTGCACCCTCTTTGGGTGTGTGTTTAGTGACCAGTAATTGCTTCTCTCCTTAGGGAGGACCGCCTGCAGGCTGCTGGAAACTCCTGAGGTGACTTACCTTCCCCCTAAGGTATGACCCATTATCAGAGATATGAAAGCCCACCTTCCCTGCCTGGGATGCTGGTGCGGGTGTGGGTGGATAACTCTGAGGTATAGCTTACACTCCACAGTACCCCTGTGGGTTCAGGCTGGATGGAAGCTGCCATCCACATGACATCTGCAAGGGCTGCTTGGCTCCCTCTTCTTCTCCTTGCCTGTTCTGCCTCCCCCTCCCTAAGGTCAAAATCCCCCAAAATCCTCACCTTACTCAGTAAAAGCCAAACTCCTTGCTGCTGAGGCCCACAAGACCCTGCATGCCTGCCTTGCCCCTTTGAGGCATTTCCCATCTCTCTCCCCCTCTGCTCTCCCTCACTGGCTACAAG